CGCTCTCAAAGAGGCATTTTGGGCTAAAGTGCGCTCCACAGCTCCGTTTTGCATTAAGCAGGCGACACCGCTTCCGGTCTTTGGTCCGCTTTTGCGTCCTTTTTTTGTTGGGTACTTCGCCGACGTTGACACGCTGCTGCACAATGCTTCTATTGTGCCCGAGAATGTGGATATTGTGCTGAACCCCGTTTCTCCCATTGAGTTCGTTCTCGCCCGCGAGGCGACGGATCGTGTGCTTCACAAGGACCAGCTGCTTCATTTGGCTTACCGACGTGTGGAGAGGGAGCTCCGCGGAGAATTCCACCGCTTTTTTCGTTACTTATCCCCTGAGGTGGCGTGGGCGCGAAGTGCCTGTGTTCCCTTTTCTCTGCCCGGAAGACCCGACGAGGTGAGCTATGAATTAGTTATTCTTCTGCAGAGTGATGACATTCACCGGACCTTTTCGTCTCTTCGTGCGGCAAAGCTTCACTGCCTATTAATGGGGCATACGGACCTGGACGTGTTACCGTGGGACGCGGCCGCGCCGTACGTGAGGGAGGCATCTTCATTGTTTTACGAACGGGGTGCGTCAAACGATAAAAACTGTGAGTTTCAGGGTGATCTTGGCGTCTTTGAGCAAAGGGGGCCCATACAGACGATCAACGTGGCGCAGCCAGCGGAGAGTTTTTATCACGACCCTACCGCTGCGTACACAGAAAGCCATGCCGTGTTTACCGAGGAACTGAAGCTGAAGAGGCGTGTGCGGTAGGGCGAAAGGACGGCATCTTCTGGCGCGCTTCACCAGAATGACTTTTCTCTTTGTTTTTCTGCGCCGGTTCCAAATGCATAGCATTCACTGTTCATCTCTCACGAAGGGCATTGGCTTTACCGTCTCTCTTCTCCGTGACGTTTGTTGATGTCTAAAAAAATGTATTAGAGTTTTTTTTTTTTTTTACGGCATGCATTTTTTTTAATTTATTTTTCTTTGTTGCTCTTGTTTTGTGCTGAAGGGATTAGCTCTTGTCGCGGCAGCACGAATACGCGTGATGGCCTCTGAAGCTGGACCGTATCCGAATTCCCCACGACTGGGGCAGACGGAGATGAATGACCTTGTGCGGCGGTTGTACCATCAACAGATGGATCGTGCTGCAAGGCGGGAGGAGGAGCGACGCCGCGAGCTCTCCAAGTCGTGCGCTCCACCACGTTACATCAAACGGGAAGAGGAGGGGGAACTCGTGCGCCGCATTTACGATCAGCAGCTGGAGCGGTTTCGGCAGAGCAAGGAGGAGCGGGAGCGACGGATTTACGAAGAGACGCACCGCTGCGACAAGAAGTTGCCGGAGTCGGAGATACAGGAGCAGGTGGACCGCATCTACGGGCAGGAGCTCGCCAAGAGCAAGGCCCGGCGTGAAGAACTGTGCAAACGATACCTGCCGGAGATGGAGCCGAAGAAGGTCAGCAAGGCCAAGCTCAAGGAGAGTGTGGAGCGACTGTCGCATGTGGACTACGCCAAGAGGGACGAGGAGCTGTTCAAGAAGCATGTGTACCCGTACGACCCGCCAACAGTGAAGATATCACGAGATGATGTGGAGGCGATGGCCAACCGCCTCTCAACGAGAGGGGGCTCGTAGGTTGCGGTGGTGGGGCCGGCGTCACGCGCAAACGCGTGGCGGGAAAGATGAGAAGGAAAATAGGAGAAAATAAAAAGACAGAAAAAAAGAAGAAGGGAGCGTTCACATATGCGCACGGAGGAAGAAAAAAAACCTGAAAACGATGCAAATCACGGTTGTTGATTGGAGTTCAATGTAAATATTTTTATGCACTTCATCTTTGAAGGGAGAATGCGGGGAGGGGCAAATGGTGTACCAAATGGAAGGTACACACGGAGTTTTCTCTTGTTGCTTTTCTTGCTGATTCCTTCCAACATACATATATATATATATATATATATATGTATTTGATTTCTTTCCTTCAAATTGTGATTTTTTATTTTTGCCCTCTTTCTCTGTGTCTGTGTGTTGGCATCCCACTTTCCCTCTGGTTTGCTGGGCACCGTTTCCCAAGCACACGAAACTTAGCAGCTTACACTCACACTAATTAACCCAACAGCCGCAGCCAACCTTAGAAGAAAGTCCACATTGGCTCAAGGAAGAGAAAGAAACGAATAGCTCATGCAGTCACGGACGGAGCTTCCATTGGCCACCGCGTCAATGAGTTTATCGTTCAGAAAGCGAAAAAGTGGATGCTCCACCGTCGGTGAGGATGAGCCGGTGGTTGCCGGCATTGAGGTGGACAGACTGTCTTTCATCAATACCGCACTTTGCGCCGTCCCGGGCAACACCCTCCGTGCCTTCTTTGCGCCTGTCATGGCTGTCAGGCTTTCGCTTCTGAGGCGGAGGCGACTCACGCAACGGCATCTCTCCTCTCCCCCAGCGAGGTCAGACAAGATGTTTCAGGAGGGCGTGCGTGTTCTTACAAAGGCGCTTGTGGACGCGTCGCTTGAACTCCTTGAAACCCCAATGCCGCTTGACGAAAAGGAGCTCGCGACGGCTTTGAGGGGAAAACTGACGCCAGTTTGCTACGAGCCGGGGGCGGTGCTTGCGTACCCTGGTGAAGTTCCAGAGGGGCTGTTTGTACACGTGGTGCTGAGTGGGAGTGTTCAGGTGGTGAACTACCAGACACAAAACCGCAAAGGCCCCATTGCCGACAGCAGCAAAAGACAATATTTTTTCAGCAATGATTTGCTACGACTAAATGGATTGTTGGGTCTTCAGCCGGAGCTGTTTCGGCTTGTCTCTGCTCCTGTGGAAATTCCCGGCGATGCGGCCAGTGATGTGGTTTCGAACTCCACCGTGTCCACATCTATTCAACGCACGCTCCGACGTGCTTCGCGTATCATTGGACAACCAACACTTTTGGCTACCCGCACAGAATTATTCCGAGCTCCCTATGTATGCTGCGCCGCTGAAGCATTGGGATTAGAGCCTTTTCGACTTGCCACGGTTACAGCAGAGGCGGCATCGCCGGATGGCAAGAGAGAGACAAACTGTGATTCAAGAGTAACCGTGACGATGCGCGTTCGAGCCAATGATCTCCACAATGCCCTTATTGAAATTGCCCTGCGTCAGCGTGATAAGTCCAAGACGCCTGTTTCTCAACTGGGCACACTTCGTAACGTGCCGGGGCTTTTGGATTATATTGCAGCCGCACGGGTAAAGTCGATCTCTAGTCATTATCCACTGAATGAAATCCTCATGCGTCAGAGTTGGTTGCTGCAAGATACCCCGGCACACACAATACGTTTCCTTGTCACGCACCTGACACCTCGGTTTTACTTTCCAGGGGAAGTTATTCTTTGTCCCCATTCAATGTCTCGCCAGCTTTGCTTCTTGCGCCGGGGCACTTTGACGATTGAGGAACCCCCATCGACAGGATTTCGTGGTGCGGGGAACCACTGCTGTGGGGATTATAATCCAAAAAGGAAGATATTACAAGAGGTGCCAGTGGGCGCCTCCTTTGGCGAGTTGTCTGTATTGTTTGGGGAACCCAGACAATTTGTCTTGCGGGCACAAACTGCTTGCGACGTTTGGTGCCTTTCTTGTCAAAGTTTTGCGGCAACGGTGAGACGTGATGATGCTCTGCGTCGAAATTTACTTTCCAAAGCTGCTGCACTGCGGATGCGATGGCTGGGAGAGCAGAGGTACACATCTTCGCTGGCGCGAGTGTTGCGTGACAGTTGTGAACTCTTTCGTGAGGCACCGGATAGTTTTATTCGTCTTGTACAGGAGCGCATGGAGCCCGTTGTTTACCCACCGGGCACCTTGCTTACATCAATTTCCACACGCTGCACGGAGATGTTGATTATTCTTCATGGCAGGGTGACATCGATCGTCGATGGTGTGGCGGAATACGGCCCTGGAAGTGTTATTGGTGAACCCACCATCATTGAGCATCGCTGGCCGTTGGGTCTTGTGTCCAAGTCCATGGTGGAGGGATGGAAATTGACGCGTCTTCACCTTCGCGACGCGCTCCGCCGTATTGAAATTCTTCGTCGGCACTCCGGTGAAGTTGGCACGCATGCTCCGCAGTTGATGCAAAGCATCTTTGTACCCCCTGTTCCTCCTTGCGAGTTGGATGCCGTGGGTCGGTCGAGGATGCCGGTGGTGGACCCACCACCACGTGGCCGGACGTACATGGAATTCGCAAGGTGGCTTGCGGAGATACAGCTGAAGGCCATGTGCTTCCAGTTCCGTGACTTTGTGAAGTGGTCGGATATTTCTTACAACACACTTCCTGGGGAGGCGGATGAGCGACCGTCAACTGGTCCGCCGACAGAATCAACGGAGGCTGCCAATTTCGATTTCATTAATTATAAGGCGGTTGCCGCGGGGAATGGCGTGAAGGCTCTACGCTGTGTGAAGAAAAACGCTTCTGCACAGCCGAAGAGTGGACGTGCCGTTAACACCGGGAGCATTCTTCCTTTTTACGTGAACCCTGCCATTGCACACCAGCCCTTCACACAGCCCTATCTCCGGAAACCACCCTCTATGTTTGGTGGCGAGGCGGAGCCCCTCTTGGCGAGGCAGCGGGCCCTTGCCGCCGATCAGAATGCGTCCGTGCGGGTCACCTCCATGCCGCAGCTGGAGAAATTAAAAAAACTCCTGGAAAACCGAGACAAGTTGCGGCGGGTGGAGACTAAACAACAGGAGCTGGCAGAAATGCAGCAGGAACGGGTGGATTTGGGCAATGTGTCCCGATTTGGTTGCCCCGCGCCTGTCCACATCTTTTTGCGGGGCAACAAACCTCGTGTGCAGATCACGGTGGAGGAAGCCATAGGTGTTGGGTACGTTCTCCAATTCCCAGACACGAAAAGCATCCAGTCGTGCGTCTCCAACATCGATTCGGACGTGACAATTGGACTGCCGCACCATCGACAGAGAAGACGTGACATGGCGCTCACTCCCAACTTTCGTCACCACCGGCGCTGTTTCCTCTTTGCCGCGTCTCAGCTAAAGGAAAAAAGCAAAGAAGAGGCAATGCTGAAGGAGGCCGCCGTGCGCGATGCGGAGAAAAAGGAAAATGCCCAGCACTTGGCCACGCTTTTGATGAACGAGATGTCCGAGAAGCAATCTTCCCTCTGTATCTTACGTTCGGCAGTGGTGGGAGAGGGGAGCAACACATCTGCTCCGGAATGGCAAAGGAACTCCCTCTTCAAGTCATCCTCGCGAGGTACCCTCACTCCGAAAAGGCAGTCAATTGCCAGCAGGCATTGCAGTTTGCCTGCAAAGGAACAGGAGGAGCCCGCGTTTCTTCGACAGCTTCGCGAAAACCCCGAGAGGGCGATGAACTCCCTTCGCTCGAAGCTCAGTTTGCCACGAGCTAATACGGATGGCGAGGCAGCCGAAAATAACTTTTCTCGTTCTATATCGGAAGCCAATAATTCCTCCAACACCATGGCACAAGGAAATGATTTAATGGAACGTCTACGTGGTGTGTCAGGGATGCATGAATTGAAGAAAATGGAGGCATCGGTCAATGGAATTCCGCCTCGTAGGCCAAGCGATAAAAATGGTGAGAAGGAAACCGACAAGACGGGAGGAGAAGATGGTTCTCCTCTGGCTTCTTTTATAGCGGACGAGAACGCACCGCTTTTTGTTGATGGTTATGGCCAGCTTGGAAATTTAGAGAGCGGTGCGGTAGAGGAATTGCCGGCACATAGCAAATCGTCGGTGGAAAACCCACCGTTGGAGACAAATTACTGGGATGCTCCAAGTGTTTCGAACGAACACACGCGCGATGATAACTTCGCGTCGATTTCTCGCAGTTTTGTCATGCCAACTGTGAGGGAGGCAACTTTAACAATGCGCCGCATGCAACGTAACATTGAGGGTCTTAACGCTGTGGCTGAGGAGCAAAAGCGTGAACGGCTGCAAAGACTTCGTCGCCGTGTGGATTGCACGGATTTCCTCTTGGAGGATGCCTCAATTTTGGCGGAGTACCAGCGGATAGTAGAGGACTGGGCCGCCAACTACACTCAGCATGCTCGTGACCCGCTGTATGTCAGTGAGATTCCGCCTCTGTTGTTACCTGAGGCTGGCGCGGACTACCTTGCTGAGGAGTATCAACATATCCGACGTCAGCAACTGACAGAATTGATTGAAGCACGTGGGACAGATGGGTGGCACGGTGAAATAGAAGCAAAAGATCGTCGCGCCGGGAAGGATAAGAGCGAAGCAGACAAAAAATCCGGCAGGCGTGTCACGACTCTGATCGGAGCGAAGAAACTGGGGATACCCTCCAAACCACTGCGGAACCCGCTTTCTCATTTGAGCCCGGAGGAGTACGAGCGATGGGTCGCGGAGCGTGACGCCGTGTTTGCGGCTGCCAAGCGCCCGTCGTGAGTGTTTGTGGAGCAACTCAAAAAATTTTTTTGCATGACTCTCCTTTTTTTCCTTTTTTTTTGAAGCGACTCATGCCGATGAGGGAGGCGCGTAGGGAAGAAACGTATATGGCTTACTTTAAGCATGTAGAAAATAGGGAACCGGCGACGTTGTGCAAAGAAAAAAAAGTTTGAGCGCTAAACTAAAGCCTCCCTGCCGGACACCGATGTATCTTTCTATGCTTCTTTGTATGTATCTTTATATGTATCCATTTTTTTTTAGCTGTGTTTTGCTACGTGTTATGTTTTTTTTTTTTTATCCTTTACTCCATGGCATCCTGACTTCTTCCCTCCCTTTTCTTTGGGGGGTGGCCTTTGAATGGCACCTCATGGATTAGGCGTCGCTCTCTTTTATTTCTCCAATTGTCATCGAATTTTTATTTGTTTTTGCATTTCTAATACTTTTCCTTATTACTATTACTATTTTGGTGTGTCTTTTCCGAGGAAGCAGACGCGCACACAGTAAAGGTATTCACGAACAGGAGGCTTTTTTTGTATTTGCATGCCAAATAAAAGAGAGGATGTCCGAATACTCCGAATGGTTGGAGGCGGCTGTTGGCATGGGGGCATTGGACGAGGCAACGGATCAGGACACTTTGCAGCAGGCCACAGTGTACCAGCAGAGGCGCGACGCCGTGCTTTGCCTTATTGACTGCCAACTCAGCATGTTTCAGGGGGGAATTCGTTCCAGTGACCCCGGCGAAATCAGCCGGATAGGTGCCGACAACACTCCCGGGGAAGATTCCACTCCCGCAATGCTGAACTCGGTCGCCACCTCGGGTTGCTCCAAAGGGAGGAACACCACGATGCGAAAACAGTCGACAGATGTTTTTTTTTGGCCAGACGTGGGCGGCGAGGGCGCGGAGAGGAGAATACCGGCGGGCATGGCGACGGGAGATGAAAAAGTCACGGACCCTGAAGTGACAGGAAACCGCATCAATAATACCCCCTTCCGGGACGCTGTGCGCTGTGTTCTGAAACTGTGCCAGGACAAGGTTCTGATGAGCGACAAGGACTTGGTGGCTCTGGCCCTTTACAACACGAATAAGAGACATAACATCTATGAATTGCCCGGCCTTTATATTGTTCACCCCTTTTCTCTTCTCAGCGTTCAGTCTGTGCGGGAATTGGAGGGACTAGCGGCCTCAGGAGATGTATCCTCGATGATGTATGAGGAGTTCAAGAAAAATATTGGGCACGCACAGAGAAATGAGGTCCATTTGAGTGACGTGTTATGGGCGGCTCAGCATATGTTTCTTAGTCTGCACTCCAATCTGATCAAGTACCGTCGGGTCTTTATCTTCACCAACGATGATGAGCCACATAAGGGTGAAACATCAGAAAAAGAGCGATGTTTGGCACGTGTGCGGGAATTGTACGAGGCTGGCGTGACTATTGAAGTATTTGCCATTGGTAAAAGCCCCAACACTGGTGCGGGGGAAATGGGCATGGGGAGAGGAGAGGCAAATTTTGACGCCTTGAACAGAGCAACGCGTGTGGCTGACACACAGCTGCAGGGTGGTGTAAAGCAACGTGAAGATACGGTGCGCTTCACGGACTGCGTGGACGCGGAGCGTCATTTTAAGCACGAGGGGTTTTGGGACCAGCTAGACCGCGGGGAGCGTTTTGCACAGGGGATGATTGAGCACGAGCGTCTTGGCGCTGTGCATGTGACCGGCGGCGTGGAAGTGTTCGATCACTTACTTAACGCCGTGCGGCGTCGGACGCACCCGCAGCGACCGTTTCAAAATTATGCGCTCACTATTGGCATAAGTGTGGGCGGGTCACCGGTACCTACGATGGCGGTGAGCGTGTATCACCCGCTGCTGCCTGCAACCCTACCGCGTGCGGAATGGCTGGACCACCGCACAAATGCCATTGTGCCGCGGCGAGCACAACTCGTCGTGAAGAGACCGCTTTCCTCGTTTGATTCCCATCGACTGAACGAGCAGGAAACGACGAATGACGCGACGAAAGCAGAGGATTCAAGGGTAATTGGCACTCCGAGGCCAAATAAGGAGGTGGAGGAAGAAACCTTGGAGACGGTTGTGAATCCTGACCACCTGCTGTACTCTACCATCGTGGGCGGGAGGCGCCTTTTCTTCAGTGCGCAAGAAAGACAACATATTTTCCTTACGGCGACGGCTGGTGCCCCTGTTGGATTTTCCATTCTGTGTTTTAAGCACAAGGAGGACATTCTGCAGCACAAACATGTCATCTGCAAATCGAGTTTTCTCCGTCCGAATCCTTACGACGGTGGAGAGGCCTCTCTCCGTCTTTTTGTTCAACTGACTCGGACACTTGTGCGAGGAAATAAAGTGGCGGTCGCGCAGTATGTGGCCCGGCGCGGAGCAGCGCCTCGGCTCGTTGCGCTGGCACCATCATCTCCAGCCGTGCCCGTTCCAACATGCAGTCTCCCTGCGAAGGGACTAGGCCTATATGTCGTGCCGTTACCGTACTCTGAGGACATCCGTGATGTGCCTTCGTTGCCATGTTTTAACTCCGCAACGATTCCATCGCAGGAGGATGTGGATTTAGCGGCGGGCATTGTCTCTTGCCTCTCCGTGTCGTACGACATCAACGCGGTGCCAAACCCATCGCTGCAGCTTCGGTACCAGGCCCTTAAGGAGATGGCATTGCGGCAAGCGACAGAATCCGGGGTAATGATGCCGGAGAAGAGCGGGAATAAACCGGGAACGATGGCTGACATGTCACTGCCCGACAGTGAGGGGATGGCGCAATACGCACCAATTTTTCACGACTTTAACGCCAAGCTGCTTGGCCCATCGTACGACGCGGCTCGACTTTGCCCACAACCCAAAAGAAGCGAATTTGCTGGTGAAAAGTCACTCCGCACGGGAAGTGGAGGCCATCGAGAGGGCGACGATGTCGTTGACAACGCGGCTATTCATCTTGTGGAAACGGCATTTGAGCAAAACGCCCTGCCAACACTCACAGTGATGCAGTTGAAGGCATATTTAAGCGCACTGGGCGAAAGCACTGCCGGAGCGCGGCGAAAGGATGAGGTGATTGAAGTTGTCAAGCATGTGTTGCTGAGGCAACGGGGAGAAAGAGCGTAGTTCTGTTGTTCTTTTCCCTGTTTACGCATATACATAGATACATGTTGCTTTTGGGCTGCAGCCAAAACCGAGGCGCGGCTGAAAATGGCGAAGGTGTGAGGGGGTACTGTCTTCGCATGCTTGGATGGGACTTTTCTCCGTGTCGTGCTTCAACGCCTGTGTTTTTTGTTTAACTATGAATTACGCACAAACCAAGAGATCAAAAAGAAAAAAAAAAAAGGAAAAAATAGGGAAGGGGCGATAAAGAGTTTTTTGGGCGGGCAAATGATGCCCTCCGCCTCCCTGCCGCCGAGGCCACGCCACACTTTTAGTTTGCGAACGGTTGAAAAGCTTTACCAGCGGCAGTTGGAGAGCACTGGGGCCCATGTGCGTCCAGAGCAGATTCCTACAATTGTTGAGAAAGTGCAGCGCAGTCTTTTGCGCGTGGAGGAGGTCTTGAATTACCGCCTGCAATGCCCGGCGTCAACTTTCCACGAGGAAAAAGAACGCCCGCTGCTATCGAAATTTGAACGCGTTCGTGTGGGCCAAATTTTGGCAAATGCCGTGCTCGATCTCGCCATCATTTCCATGGTGGGCGGGAATGAAACGGCTGATGCGGTGACGAGCACCAGGAAGGCCCCTTTTCTCCCATCATCTCACGTTGCTGCACCGTCCTTGCACCCGTACGGCACGGAAGAGCTCTCCGACGAGTGTAAACACCAAAAACTGGAGTCGAACCTTCACGTTGGCGCTGTTGAGGAGACGATGGAGCTGCCAGAAGTGAACTTGCTTTTGCCCGTCCCCACGGGCGGCGGCAGTGACGCTGGCAGTGAGGCGTCACTCAGTGTGCCTGGCCGGAACATCGTTTCATCAAAAAATTGCCGAAGGATATCAAAAAATGTGTCCCCATTGGCGGAGCGGCTGCCCCACATGCCACAAAGAGTTCAAAGAAACAATACCATCACCAGTGTAGATAGTCACGGGAATTGCAGCAACTGTAAGCCCGCGCGGGCTTCTCTTTTGTCCCAGGATATGGTGCCCTATCAAAATCCTCTCTCGCACGTTGAGTCACCCCTCTCGCCTGTCTCAGTGCACTTCAAACCAGTGCTGTCGATGCACTCCGGAGCTGATAGCTCTTCCACGTACCCATTGCCTCGCCAACGGCCCCGAAGGTATTATGACATTGATTTGCAGAAGGTGAGCGATTTCACTCGTTGTCTGCGCACAGTGCAACGATTGAACTTTACGGACAGCGATTTTGAGAAGATTGGCCTACGGTATGCCATACCTGGTATACGGGAATTGCACCCCAAGGAGGTACAATTTCTTTTGGAGCGTGTGGATGAGAGCTGCTACCCGCATGGAAACCCATTTCTTTGCTCCGGAGAAGAAGAATTTTTTGTTAAGCGTACCATTTCAATGGCAAGCACCGGGGGTGGTACTGACGCAGACGTCTGTAGTGTATGCCTCACTCGCAGAGAAACCAACCCCAAACTTGTTCATACTCCATCCGCCGTCACGGCTGACCCGCAGCTTCCTGATCATGGGACGCTAAAGAAAACACGCGTGTCTTATTGCCAATCATTTACACAACAACAAGGACCAGGGGAGCGTGACACACCAACAAACGACACGGGCGACTCCTCACCGCAATCTGCTTCCATCAAGGAACAATGCTTACCGTTATTCAGGGGTGGGAAAGAAACCATCGTGCAAAAAAAAGACCTGCAGATCTTTCTAGCCATGGTAGAGGCTCGTTTAAAGTCCGTAGACCAAGAGATTAACGGGAGACTACGTTTTTCTGGGACTGATCTGGCATCAAGCAGCGGTTGCGAAGATGACACAGCTTACATTGCCTGATGCGGCGTGTCGTTATAGTTCTTTTCCTATTCATACGGTTGTTGATGCCTTCTTTCTCTGCGTTTTTGCTTGGAGGGCTTTTGCAGATCCCCGTTTTGGTGTTGCCACGTCTCCACCTCTTTTTCCCTTTTTTTCTCCCCCTGTTCATCCCCCTATTGGTTTCTGCGCATATAGGCCTCTTGTCGCTAAACAACAACAACAACAACAATCAGGTATGACTGCTCGTCCGTCCGTCAGCGTGTACTCCGCGTCGGAGGACAAGGTTGTGGGCATCTGCCCGCTGCCCGCCGTGTTCACCGCCCCCATTCGTCACGACATTGTGCAGTTTGTGCACACGAACATGGCGAAGAATTCACGCCAGGCGTACGCGGTGAACCGCCTCTCCGGGATGAACCACTCCGCAGAGTCGTGGGGCACCGGCCGCGCTGTTGCTCGTATCCCCCGCATTGGTGGTGGTGGCACAAGCACTTCAGGCGCGGGTGCGTTCGGTAACATGTGCCGTGGCGGCCGCATGTTTGCCCCCACGAAGATCTTCCGCCGCTGGCACCGCAAGATCAACCTCCACCAGAAGCGCTTTGCCGTGGTGTCCGCCCTGGCCGCCTCATCGGTGCCCGCGCTTGTGATGTCCCGCGGACACAAGATTGAGAATGTGGCAGAGGTGCCGCTGGTGGTGGAGGACGCCGTGCAGGGGTACGAGAAGAC